CTGCTGAAACTTCAATGTATATTTAAAAAAAATGACAGCAGTGCTATTCATGTGCCATTTAATGCATTAAATGATGGGGCATAATTCATTCCATGTTTCATTCAGCAAAGTCAGTACAATTAGCCCTTTGTTTTACATAGGCTGATATCAAGGACAATAGGTCTTCTGTGATATACTGATACCAAATGCAATTTATTGTATGCTGTTCCACTTTTTGATTTTCAGTATACCAAGTTTTTATGTGATCGATGAATAATTTCTTCACAGATGCTGAAATGCCAGAAGCTGGAGTTTTTGGTAGCCAAGTGATAGCTTTTAGCACCCAATTAAGTATAGAAGGTAATTTAGAATTATGTAATGAGTAACATTCACTGAATAATTCAACTGAAATGATCAATAGTTGACATAAAATGTCCTTGTCAGACTTCAGAGTTAATAATTCATTGTAATGAATGACCTCTTAAAACTATCTTCAGATTTACAGATATGCCCGGGACCACAGCAATTCCAGCTGGGGTGGAGTGGCCCTGGACTGGCAGAGGGCCGGGAGGGGGATGGGTGTGGAGGCGGGCACAGGGGTCAGCCCCAGACTGCAAGTAGCAGTGTTGGATGGCAGAGGGGCTAGCTGGGGCACAAGGGTGCTACATTGCAGGGCTAGGCAGCAGGCAGCCCTGGTCACAGTTTACATGTGTGTTTGAGTGCACATAATTACTCCGTTGTAGTACAGTACTTGTCCCAGACATTACTATCCTACAGCAGAGTTAATTTACTGAGCCCTAATATAGATGTGTGTGTAAACTGTGATGCTTTACTGCAGAACTAATTAGTCAACTTTGCAGTAAACTGGATTTGTAGATGTACCCAGTTAAAAGTTCATACTTGGAAACATCATTCTTTTTTAACAATGTTTCGTACTTCTAGGTAAGGGTTTGCTTGGATTTTTTGTTTTGTTTTGTGTTTTTGTTTTTTTAACAAGTGTTTAGATTCTGGAACACAATAGTAAAGTTAAGGATGAATTTCATGACAAATTCTCCAGCTGCATAATATGGAATACAATACTCTAGGCCCTTGTTATAACCCTTACACTCTAGTAAGATTACCTTTAGGTACACTGATCTTTGAATTCTTTGCTTCAGCTTTACTTCCTATAATCAGGAAGGAATGACTTATTTTACCTCTGATCCTACCTATTTAGTCCCAGTTCAGAAAGGACTAGGAACCTCCAACTTCCATTGACTGCAAAAATGTTACACAGTTTCATAGTTGTTAGGGTTGGAGGGGACCTCAATAGATCATCAAGTCTGACACCCTGGCCTGGGCAGGAAAGAGCGCTGGGGTCAGATGACCCCAGCCAGGTGCTTGTCTAGTCTCCTCTTAAAGACCCCCAAGGTTGGGGACTGTCCAGTTTCCTCTTAAAGACCCCAAAGGTACAGATTATCTGTGCCTCATAGGTTAGTGTCCTAGTACTCTGACCGTAGCCCACATTTACAAATATAGCTCTACAAATATTACTGGAACTACTCTCTTAGGTAAGGACCCCCTAAATTCTACTGAAACTTCTCCCTCTCACAAATACCTTGTAGTTATATAAATTACAAAAATTCATATGCTGGAAAAAAACCCTCCTGCTTTTCAGTGCCCCATGGGTATACTTTGCCCTGCTATGGTTATTGCTTTTAGAGATGATCAAACAATCCAGTTAAAAAAACTTAAAACATTTGCAGGAAAACATTTAAAAAAATACTTACTTGGCTTTGAGGGACTTCATGGTCAGCTCCCCAGTAAAGAGTCATTCCAAGAGAATAAACATGAATCTGTAGTAAAACACAACCCATCTGTCAGCTCAATGAGGGAAACAAGACTGGAAATATGAATAGTATATCTTTAAAGGGGGCACAATGACTTTAGTATTCAGAAATGGGGTAATCTTTGCGCGCACGGTTTTTTGAAAGTCAGGCTCAGTTCCATACTTAGTTGCCTCAAAGAACTTTCAGGTAGTTCTTTCTCTCCCTTGTCATTACAATTCGAGCAGCAAATCCTCTGAGGAAACAGTTGCAAGGTCTTTTCAGTGCTCTTCCTTTCCCATTTGGTTTTTAGCCTCATTTGAGATAAAACCCAAGTATGCATAGATAAGATGACTAAAAGACCTTATGGCACAGTCACTTGCTAAATTCTGAAATGCATCAAGAGCATTGCAACACCTTAAGGATTTTTAATTTGAGTGTTGTGTCCTCCTGAAATCTGAAAGTGGCAACCAGAGGTTAAGGAACTGAGGGAACTATGTTATGAAAGATAAATCAATGGACTTTCAGACATATTCACAAAGCTGTCATTTCAACATTTCACCTAGGGTGCAAACAGATATTGACCTTGTGCTGCCATAAATTTGTTTATGGTTGCTAAGTTGTGAGCAAACATGTCCTAGCTTGCTATTGCGCTCCAGCTGGCCAAAAATGTTGCTGCAACTAAAAGGTAGTCACCATTAGTGACACCTTAAATGGGAAGATGTTTCTTTGTCTATTGTGCACCTTGGTAATTCTGTTGCAGGGGATGCCTGTGGGTGAATGTATCGGGCTGTTGTTTTATTGACTGCGGACATATCGAAAAGGGGAAAAGGGGGGGCTATACTAGAGAGAAGAGATACAAAAAAAACCAACAGAAGATATTCTGGGAGAATCCCATGAAAAAGATACATTAGTTAAATTATTTTTCCAGTTTTCAATACACAATTTTGTAGCATAATCATAGGTATAGAATTATTCAATATTTTAGATATTCTTATTGAAGATTTCTTGACTTATAAAATCAGCATTATAAATCATGACTGGACTGATAAATCCAGGTTGTCTCTAACCAGAGAGATTTCCGTTTCCAGCCTCCCATTCTTGAAGCAGGTCATTGTACAGATGGATGCCTGCAGCTCCAGGCACATCTGGATGCTATTGGATTATTGTACCCTTGTCAATCTGGCTTTGATCTTGGGCATAGTACAGAAACTGCACTCATGGCATTTGTTAACAATTTTTGCCTGGAGACTGCCAGGAGAAACTGCACCCTGTTGATCTTACTAATGCACTCTATGTAGGGCTTCTCTTGGGGCTAAGCAGAAGCTGCAGCTGGTGCAGAATGTAGTGGCTTGACTTCTGATAGGGTGGATCACCAGGAACATATTACTCCAGTACTCCAGAGTCTGAACTGGCTCCCAATAACTTTCCAGAAGCATCCAAAGAATTGGTATAGACCTATTGGTATTGACCAAAGGACTGGTATTGTGGGCCCGATGTACCTGGGAGACTGCCTCCACCCCTATGTTCCATCACAATCCTCAAGCTCAGCTGAGAGCACCCACCCTGCACGTTCCATTTGCGCACCATGTCTGTTTGGTGAAAACACATGGGAAGTTCTCCTCAGTAGTTGTTCTTTCAACTCCCTCGGTCCTCAGGCTTTCCAGAGCCAGAGCTTAGACATCTTCCAGAAGCACTACAAGGCACCGATTACTAACACGTGGGATTGCATTTTGGGGTATTGTTTGGGGTTGTTTTATTAATTAATATTTTTAATGTTTTATCTGTTTTTACAATTTGCCTTTTTTTAAAACTGTAAGTTACCCTAGGCCCTTTTTTGCTGAGAATGGCAGACAAATGAAATAAATAAATAAATACATACAACATCATATACCAAGCGCTTGGACCAGTGAAAATATTATGTTAAGTAGCTTGACTTGGATAATAAATAAGAGTGAAATTGGTAGCCCCCTTCATTTCACTGTTAAGTAACAGTTTTGCACATAAATGCTAAAGGAAAAGAAAAGCTTCCACAGAACTACAACAAACCATTTCAAAGAGCCTGTCCTACAACTAGTCTCATGGGTGGTGTCCAGCCACACCACATCAAAATGCAATACTTTATTAATTGCACTGCGTTGGTGTTGCAGTTATGTTTCTGACAGCACTAACCAATTTGCTAAAAATCCCAAACCACCAACATATTCATCCTGCCACAGAGGTCTGACAAAAATAATTAGCAGCCTATTGTCAGCTAGGTAGTAGCAAGAGATGCAAATGTAGGATTGCAAATCAGATCCCATCATGCCTTATTGCTGGTGCAGGGGGGTCCTGGGCTCCCCCTGCACCACCAAGAAGCAAGCTCCTGAGGCTGGGAGACCTCTCAGGTAATGGGGCTTCCAGCTGTGAGGGTTTACCATGTGCTCCCGCAGCTAGAAGCCCCTCAGCTGACCCAGGCTCCCAGCCATTGGCATGCCCCAAGGGCCCCAAGGGCCCCCACAGCAGACAGAACACACCTGAAGCACCCCCATGGCTGGGAGACTGCATCATCTGTGGTCTCCCAACCATGGGGAAGCATGGAGCATACCCACTGCTAGGAAACTGCCTAAGCTAGGGTCTTCCAGCTGTGGCGGGTGTATGGGTGCCCCCATGGCTCAGAGCTCTGTCAGCTGATGGGGCTCCCACTACAGGGTCCCCTGGCCACACATTCAATTTATGGCATGATAGGAAGCAGCTACAAAGTTATTCCACATTTTTTGAGGAATAACTTTGTAGTTTATTCCCCTTTTTATCACTCTATTAGCTGAATTAATTAATTTACTCTGTTTATTGAATGAACGTGTGGCCAGGTGACCACTCAAGGCGTGATTAACTGGTTAATCACTCCATATGCATTACATGTAGATGGAATCTATGTTTTTCTCTCAGAATTTCCAGTGAGTGTATTTGTTTTAAAAAAATGAAAATATTGGATATCTGAACACTGTGTAATAAGTGAAAGCTTTTAATTAAAATAAGCCATACAAATATTTTCATTCTTCCATGACAAAATAAATTAAATACATTCTTTTTATTCATTCTCTTCAGTTTAGCACTAACGGTTGTAGTGATAGTAATACACAGTAATGACAGGTACTGAGGAGACTCAGAGAGAATATATTTCTTTGGATTTCTTACTTCTTAATTTTTTAAAATGTAATTACGTTTATTCATATAAAAAGTTATCTGTACAAGAACACTTTAGGACTAAACTTCCTCTAATTAATCACAGGGAGGGTATGGCTTCAACACCCAGTGCATGAGTCATGCATAGCGCTACACAAAGGACTCCACTGATATGAGTTTGTGATTCAACTAATACTGCTGACAAAATCATCATAGACAGTTTAGTTCAACTGGCTGATAGTACAGTCAAGGGAACATCTTATATCTGAGCTATGGAGAGAGATTATGGAATGTAGAAGAAATTCAAGAAAAAAAAATATGTATTCTAAAAAAAAAAAGAAAAAAATGCAACAAAATTGAAGTGGGCAATGTAGAGGCCTTGGAAATCATTCTTAAGGAGGAGACAGTGGGCCCAGTTTCACCTTCTGTTAAATCCATGTAACATCTTCTGATTTCAAGTTCTTATTGAATGATCATTTAATTTAGTGGTGCTGTACTGCCTAGGTGCTGTTGAGACAATTTGGACTACTACACAGAAAACAATAACATAAGAGCCAATCCTCTTTCACATATCAAGTAGTCCTCCTTTATGTATTTTGAGCAATGGAATGCCACTGCATACCGCATGATTGAAATACTATAGCTGCTGTGAGAACAGTGATGTTTAGCCGTGTCTTGGTTGTACTGTTGTAGAGGAGCATGAATTTAGCTCAATTACTTGTCCATCCCATATTTGAAAACTAGGTGAGAAGGGAGCTTTAAGAAATCCTTGTTTTTCAGCCTTTACCTACTATATTTTTCAATTGCAATCCCTTAGCTGCTAGGGAGGCCATCATAGAGGACATTCCAGTTTTCTGCTACTCTGTCCTCTATTGATATGAAACCGGATGCCTTTATGTCCTCTATTTTTCTTTTGAAAAAAGAGAAAAATAGAGGACATAAATTTAAATAATAAATTTAGCATAATTTATGGGGGTGCTTCAGGCTGCTAAATAAATTTTTCTCTTGAAAAACAGAGGACATAAAGGTATTGGGTTTCATATCAATAGAGGACAGAGGACAACCAGACTGTCCTCTATGATGGCCACCCTAAGCTGCAGGCAAATGTGGACAGCACTTCAGTCCAAACTCTGTTCCATCAGTAAGACTTCTAAGTCTCTGCTCCAATTAGCCCACAAGGCACATATCAAAGCACAAAACTGATCCTACGTATTATACTTAGGGTGCTGCATGATTCTCCCATTCCAGCAAGAGCAGCCTTATAAGACTCTAGCAGATACCTGTATCCTGGCTAGAAAGACACAAAGCTCTCTCATACTCTTAATGGACAAGTCTACATACTTCCGATATATCATGATCCAACTCAACCTAACTCCCGCATAAAAGGAAGTGTCCTGTACTCAGAGGGTAGATTCTTTCAGGAGGAAGGCAGGCCTGAATTGTGGCACTGGGAGCAGGGGCCCCAAATTAGGGCTGTCCCTCCAGTAGCAGAACTTGGGTGTGGGGGAGGGAAGGTCCCAGGAGCGGCATTGATTCAGAGTGGGGTGCCAGAACAGCAGCCCGTAGGGAGACCATGCCACCAGAGGAGACCCTGTTCAGGAAGCTTGTGTGCAACTTGCCTACATGTGGAGGAAAGCACTGACTCCCCCCCCCTCCATGCTACCCAGGAAAATTTCATTTTAAGCCTTTGTCTTCCTCTCTCCCCCAGAACAGTGCCCTCCTCATGGCTCCATCTTTTATGATCTCTTTTTAATAGCTTTTGCATTTGTTTCCACCTGCTGGCCCAGCTTCACAACAGGAGGGATGGAGGATGTCCTCATCTCTGCCTAGCCCATAGTCTTGAAGCTAGGAAACTTACAGGAAGTGTAGACATGAAATTTTGCTGAAATACTGTAATATTTCACAACCTATTACCTACAATCCCTGTAAAGAATATTAAAAAAATACAGGTGACATATATGGTGAGTCAACTTCTTCATAGTATAAAAAGGCAATGTAAAAACAAATTTTACTTACTCCTATTTAATACAGTTTGACTTTGAAACCAGATAGCTAGATTGGTTTCATGATGGTACTTAACAATTTTGTACACAAATATTTATACTTTTTTCTAACTGTTCATTATGGTTTGACAGGCGTATGTAGTTCCAGATGTTTTGGAGGAAAAAAAATCCCACACCATGGTACTTATATGATTCACTGGTTGAGGTTTGGATAGCATTATATCCATGCATGAGATAACATCAAACACATAAACACTAGATTCAAAACACCTATTTAAAAGATGTTCTGACAACAGCAGATTAGAATTAGGTTAATAATGTTATCATATGTAAAATCAATGGTATATATTCTATAGCATGCTGCACTATTTGAGAAAGATATAAAATATAACCTTCACTAGAAATTGAGGATACTCTAAACCTGCAAAATTATGGAAATTATTGACAATTTTTACAGTTATGTTTTTTATCAAACTATTTTGAACAGTTTCCACAAAACAGAAGCAAAACTAAATTCATATCACAAATTCATCATATATTATTTCTTGAATGATTTGTCATTTTTCATTTTTAATAAACCTTTTTTGTTCAAATTTAGTGAGCAACTTGGAATCAATAGGGCATTCATCATCTGACTAGCTAGTTGGCTGATATTTATTGTTGAACACATCATTTCTTTGGGATAGCAGAAATGAAGTCATAACCCAGAGACTAAAGCAACCCTGTTATTGTGTTTTAAAACCCATTACAAACAGGGGGTCTATTTTGGTTTCAGTACTTTTCAGACATGATCCAATTCCAGAACAAGAGCTAAAAACAAAAAAGATTCCCATTCAAACTAATTTGGTAAATGCCAATGAAATGTACCGCAAAAAGAGAGGTTTAAATGACTGAAAACCAGATTAAATCATATTTTTAAGTTACACTGTGCAGACATTCAAGTAAATAAGTAAAGAAAATTAAACACGATATAAAATGCAACCTTAGTTTAATACATAGGGAAGAGGGGAAAAAATTCAGGTTAGGAGCTAGAGGAAGGAAAGATATTGCATCTATAGATATTTTAATAAAATCCCAAACACAAATTAGTATTAGGTAATATTACTGTACTTCAAAGAATATTTAAGAGTCATAGAAAAAGTCACCCTTCATTTAAAGACAGAGCTGACACCTACTTACTTCCCTTTAGCAATATACTTTGTTTTGTTTATTATATATTCCCCCAGATTCAAGAGCTTGCTTTGTCAACATCCCTTTGCAAAAGGTTAAAATATTACCCCAGACAATGTTTTTTTCAACCTTAATTATAACAAAACACTATATTATTTTTGTACTGAACCAGCAAACAGAAAAACAAATCCAGATTAGGGCTGCATCCTTATAGGTACTGCACAAAATATACAGTTTAATACACAGTCCCTGCCTCAAACAGCTTACAGTGCAAATCTTCAAATCTTCAAATCCAGTGTTGCCATTTCTTGCAAGTCAGTGATTTTTGGTGTTTTAGGCTCCAACTCCTGTCATGTGACTTCATGAGAATCTAGCATTTTATTACAAAAATAGGGGTTTTTGCATTTATGGTTGTAGTGAAAAGTTTGAAAAACGTGATCCAAGCAAACAAACCTTGTTATTCTCATTATTCTAAACTTTGTGCGGAGGAGGAGAGGGGAGAGAGAATGGAAGGAGACTTGATTCATAATTTTTGAGCACTTGGGAGTCCTGTAACTTCTTCTATGTGGGCCTGCATCTGTGAGGGCAGAAGCATCACATCTGCATGGAGCAGACAGCTGACTTGGAACCCAGGACAAATGGGCTTAAAACAAATTGTGATTTTTTTGCTCTAGCTCATCATTAATTAAATGAGCATTTAATTTTGGGATGAAACAAAACTCTGCACCAAAACTCAAGATGCAGCTTTTAAAATGCTCCTAATCCCAACAGTTTCCTTCTTCATAGGGCTATACCCTCAGGCTAAAATACCAGCTAACATGTAGCTGTATAAAGGAAGAGGACTTTTTCAAAACTAGTGGGAATCCCTATTAGATCTCCTCAAGTCAACAAAGAAACACATGCAAAAAAGTGCGTGCACGCGCACACATGCATATAATTCACTCTCCAGCCCACTGGGAAAAGATCCGGTACGGAAAAAATATTCAGCTCAGTAAAAGACAAAATTCCACAGAAGAAAGATCATTTAAAGCCATTTTTGCAAACTTAGCTGTATGTTGCTACATAAATAAAACAAGTTTCTGCTGACCCAATTATAAGTTTAAGGGAAAACGATATACCTTTTCAACATCCAAGAGAGATGACAATGACTGGTTCTGTAGAACTTCTGGTGCTGTGAATGCTCGCAGGTCATGGTGGGAAACGTTTTCATCTGTAAATGACACACTGCCAGATGGAAGCAACAGCAGAGACCACGGAGAAATGATGAAGCCCAGAGCAGTAGGATCAGCTATATTTGAAAAAAACAAACAACATACAATTACAATGGCAGCTGTTAGCAATCAAAAGAACTTCATGGAAAACCATTTTTCTAACAAACGGAAAGTTGGAAAATGGAATGGATGATCTAACATTCTATTTTTAGCTTCTAAGACTGCAAAAATTAAAAAATAGCCTTCAACACAAAAGGCTGACTGGTAGTAAATGGCAAGATGTTTTGCACAAATTGGAGGACCCACCATCATTTCAGTCTTCCAAGGTTTTACTAACTGTATGTGTTGTATAAATATCAAAAGTATATACAGCCATCAAACTGATCCTTGAAGTTCTGAGACTCCATTGGTTTCAGACATTTTATAACACCAGGAGAGAAGTTAATTGAAAACATGGATTCAATCTCCTATATTAATAGCCACCTATGTTAGCACAGTTAACAGGATAGATACACACCTTATAAACAGAAAGGATGGATTCTTATCCCTTACCTGGATTAGTTTGATTTTTTTGTTCCTACTGTTTCTTTGGTTGTATGCCTCTCAGCACTGTCACCCTTCCAACTCTCCCTCCCTCCTCTTTTCCAACCTTTTGTATTCAGAGCACTCACTCCACTTTATAGACTGCTCTATGCTGTCCTTTTACAGCATCTGAATTAGAATTCACAAAATCTTGTACTCCTCATATAGCAGCTTATTTAGTTAGTCTATAAGGGAATCTACCTTGCCTTTACCTGACATCAAACTAACATGTCTAACTACCTCTCTCTGAGCATAGTTAACATACATTTTATTCAACAATTCCTATTATCTTGGAAATGTAAAACTTCACTTCAGATAATAAGAATATTTAAAGCAACACAAATAGAAATATCACATTTAAGAATAGGAAGGACCCAATGGATTTTAAATGCAGTAACTATGATCAGACAAGGTTCCTTGGGTGAATTTGATATCTTTTATTAGACCAACACGGCTACAACCTAAACCCCTGTAACTATGATCATAATGTTTAGTAATTCATGAAGGCAATACTGTGGACCAACCAATATAAAATGATATCCTTTACTTCAAAATATTTACTCTTATGACTGAAGTTGCATTGTTTCACTCTGATATATATAATGCTATATTTACTTGTAATTATCTCAAAGGCACTGTTATTCATTTCTTTTATATTTAAAGCAATCTACCATAATGCAAGAAATAAAAACCTTACTGTTTTAATTATCACTTTCACGTTCTTCAATTCATAACAGATTAAAATGTGCACATTTTAAAACAGATGAGAGTGAATTCAAAGGGGAAAGCTACAAAGGGTTTAATAAAAATGGTATCCTAATTTTGAAACAGTTTGCTGAGGACATGGGACACAGAGAGGAAAGGACAACACTGCAGAGCTAGCTTCCTCTATTTACCTACCTTCAATCTTATTCCGAAATAAATATATTTCACTGTTCTGGCTTTCTCCTCAGATCCAGAAGAAATCAAGAGATGTATTTGTTGGCAACTGTTATCTGTGATCATGTGACTAAAACCAACTGAAAACCACATTCAGTACTACAGCAGCTCCTCCATTGAAATGATAGCTTTTTTGTTTTCTTCTCTTCTGAATAAAGACGGCAATATAGCTAGTAAAAGGATTTTTTTAAAAGAATATAGAGTAATGCAACTGTAAGGAATAATACAACAAAAGGAGGACTTTTGGGGTAAAGGGAAAAATATTTATTTACAGTGTGGTATTTAAAAAAATAAGAATTTGTTGGCAGCTATACTTACAAAATAGTTGGTACCTTCAAAATGAGAGGTTTCTCCTAACTAGGCTTTAGAAGCTGAGGGAAAGAAGCTGGGGGGCCGTGTGGGTGGGATGGGGAGGAACATGGCCAGGCCCCAGCAGGTTGCTGAGTATGATAGTGGAGGGGTTTAAACCTCCAACCTGGTGTACAGGGTCCCCAGCCAGGGTGTGCCTGGAGGGGGAAAGGGGAAAAAGCCCCTATAAGCTTCCCCCATACCCTGACTTGAGCAGCAGAAACCAAGGGTGTGGCCAGACACTGGCCCTGGCTGGCCCCTTGAGATGAAGGGCAAGCAGGGAAGCAGGGTTTAATCTCTTCTCCCACTGGCATGGGACCCCAGCCAGGGTCTTCCTGCTGTCAAGCTTTCCCTTCACGCTTGTTGCTCGAGTGGCAGGGGCAGGGGTGTGGCCAGACACTGGTCCCAACCTGCCCTAAGGTAAAGGGTGAGGAGGGAAGGGGGGTTTCATCCCCTCTCCAACCAGCACAAGACCTTAGCTGGGGTGCCTGGCTGGGTACCCGTGCCAGTGGGAGAGGGGAGGGAGAGGGGATTAAATCCCCCCCTCTCCTAAACCTCAGGGGGCAAGCCCAGGCCAGCATCTGGCCACACCCCACACCGCTGCTCAAGCAGTGAAATGGGGGAAAGCCTGACTGCAGATAGACCCCGGCTGGGGTCCTGCATTGGTGGGAGAGGGGAGGGAAGGGGCATTAAACCCCCCTCCCCTCCCCACTCCCCTTTGCCTCAGGTGGCCAGCCCAGGCTGGCATCTAGCCATGGCCCTGCTCCCACCACTCAAGCTGTGAGGGTGGGGATGAGGGAAGCTGGCAGGCGCTGCTCCACCCCTGCAAGGCAGACCCTGGCTAGGGTCTCATGGGAAAAGTCTGGTAGGAGCTGCTCCACCCCAGCCAGGCAGACCATGTGGTGTCTCCAGCCAAGTTTCCCACTCCTACTCCCTTTTCAGCCAGTCCCCACTGCTCCAGCTAGAGAGCAGAGAGGCAGGACCAACCTTGCTCTGCTGGAACAGGCAGCCCAGCCCAGCCCAGCCCAGCCCAGAGCTGCAAAGCATCCTGGGATGCTGGGGGACTCTGATTTAACTTGAACCAGGAAGGGGTCTGGGACAGAAGTTCTATTAACTGGTTTGATATAAACCAGTTAACTCTGAGACTACATTCAACCAGGTTTATCTTAAACCAGTTTCAGCCATTTTGAAACTGGTTTATGTGCACTGAACTTCTGTTCTGTTACAGGATTAAACCAATTTCTGATCACTTAAACCGGTTTATGTGTAAGCTCTGTCCCTAGCCCTCATGAGTAGAGAGAACTGAACCTGCAGCTCCACCAGGAGCTGCACTGATATGGCAGTGAGCTCAGAGATCACTGCAGGTGTGCTGCACAGCCAAAATGGGATCAAGCCATGACACCTCCTGGACCTGGGATCTGCCCCTTCTGGAAAATATTCTAGAAAGAGAAATACATGCAAAGAATGGTGGCATAGAAATGGCAAGGAATGATACAAGGATGTTTCAAATACCAATTACTCTTCCTGCTCATTTCATATTTTCCCTTGTTAAGTTTATGACAAAATATTTGTCACGTACATTTGATCAGATTTGCAGAAGGTCTTCCTTTGAAAGCTTCATTTACTCTAATTAATGACTTCAACTGCATGGCGCCCAGTAAGAGAGCAAGATTTCTAGTTCTGTATTTAGCAATCATTTGATTCTTATTGGCTTTAGATATTAAAAACTTGCCTTCCTTCTATTTAAGAGGGCACTGAATGTCCTAAGAAAGCATGACTTCTTATAGGAGGCTGGGAATGAGCAAGATATGGAGAAAAATCAGTAAGTCCTGAAATAATTATGCCAGTTACTGTTCATCCTTTTTCATGATGGAGTAATGCAATTCTGCTCAAGGATTTGAAATCTTCTGGCTTCACTGCTTTCGCCTGCCACTAAAAGGACTAATCCATCAGCTCTACATTAGTAGAATACTAAAGCCAAGATGCACGAGGATTGTCTGAATAATTTGTGCAAGAGCTTAGAAAGATATTTAAACACAGTAACATCACTGCAATTTGTGTCAAATAAAATTATGGCCATCCTTTTACAAAGAAGAATGCAACACATCTCAAATCTGTATTTAAATAAGGTTACATTTAAACAGGTTATAAAAATATTACAAACTGAATTTCTACTGAATTTTCCAATTGAGATACTCAGACAATTATTCTTAATTGTTTCACTCTGTGATATATAGTGGTATAATTTACTTGTAACCATTTCAAAGGCACATATAAATCTTACTGATTTAATTATCACTGACCTGATCTTGAAAGGGTCTCATGACTTTCTAGCTGCAAACCACTGCTGTACATCAACTTTCACATTGTAGCGTCCTTTTTCTTTTTGCTTTTACTATACATTTATCACACCAATTTTACTTGGCCTTGTTGTTTATGGGCAAGTTAGCACAGATAGCAGAAATGTCCAGGAAAGTCACAGTAGGGACAAATTTAATGAACAAAGGACCACTTATGCATTAATTACTCCTGGAAGAAAACAAATTAGGCTACTCAATTCCTGCTGCAGCTGGTCCTGTTACAACTGACACTTTCCACCCAAGAACCCAGGGATCTTTACTTTGGGGTAGAAGTCACAGCATTATGGGACTGTGTGCGCCAATAAACACTCATCCAGCTGACATACTATAGTACTTCTTTATAACTGCAGCTGGCTTTTAGATATCAATCCCAGTCTACACAATTCAAAGTAAATGTTAGGGAAATAATATGGATTTTGGGTGTTGGGGTAATGATATGGAATCTGGGAGTGCTGTATGTGCAGCTGAATAAAAGTTTTTCCTGTGTCTCAGCAGAAGCTGCTGGTCACAAGGCTGAATGATCTATTAAAAGTAACCTCAGCAAAAGCTGCTAGTCACAAGGCTGGATATATATTAAAAGCAACCAACTTGACTAATGCTTAAGTAAGCAGATTCTTAACAGGAGGGTAGGGTACAAAGTGCATGATGTGTTGAGTAAAAATAGAATAGCCTAATGTCAGGAGACAAAAGCAGAAATATGACCTTGGAGATGGTGCTGAAGTCAGCAAGAAAACCAGCAAGAACCAGTGATAAACCACAAGGGACCGAAAGAAGATGGGGGTCAAAGTCTTATGCATGTGCTTTTAGTACAGAGGCATGTAAATGAATGAACTGCATAGGCAATACCATGCCAAGGAAACAAATAGTAAACAGAGGTGGAGCTTGAGATGGGAAGAGAAATGGGTAGAACCAAAGGTGGGTTATAGGCGGGGTGAATGTTAATGTGTATGAACCAAGCTGTATAAATGTTGGAAAGAACTGCTGTTCAGGGTGGCTCCTCAGTTTGTTGTTTTTTGAGAGCTAATCTGAAGCTGTCTCCATTCTGAATAAAGCTGTTGCGAGCAATGTGTGCTGGTGTTTGCTCCCTGCTTGGTCTGGCTAATGAGTAACGGGATCCATGGGCAGTTGGACCGTCGTCTCCCTAGTTGTTGGGCGTCACACGAAGTCGGGGTCTAACAGTAAGCAACTGGCTTAATGTTATGGAATGGGTCAGTGGCCAGGTAGGAAATGAAATCCAGACATTGGGAGTTTCATTCCAGTGTCTTATCCAATGGACCATGCTACCCCTATATTTCTTCATACCAGGAATGAAACTGGGAAGAATCTTTACTGTCATTCTGCTGCTTTCTTGAAGCAGAAGTTCTGATGCTTTCTACATATCCAACAAAGCATCCACTACTTTATTTTATACTGGATAATATGAAAGTGAACATTTTTGAAACCATAAATACTAGAATATTTTGGCTTAAAATGATCTTCCATGTTGAAGAAGCTGATAAGTCTCACCCCTCAGACCATCAGATGTTTTCAGGATGTGATTCAAAGACAGCATGATAGTCTGCTAAACATCAGAGTTAATTTTTTCTTTTAAGAAAAAAATCATGGAAGGCTGTATACTTGTTTTGTGTGGCTGTTTAAAAGCAGATTGTCAGCTTGACATTGTGAAAGCTATCCTTTAAATCTAAAGTTGTGAATTTATGAATTCACAAAGATATTATTTACATATTAAACTTCAAGGTCTCTTTTAAAGTAATTATCTCTTGTAACTGAATCCATATACTAAATATGCTGTAGAAGATTATTGCTGAAAAAAGCCAAGCTTTCAGAGAAACTATGCTCATATTTCTGAATTAAAAGACATCATTTTAAATCATTTTCCCCCAGATTGTGCCAAGAAAACAGTCTGCTCTCTAAACTAGCCTCCCTCTAAATAAAAAAACACAACAAAAAACAAAGCTGTTTTTTTCAATACTACAACATAACAAATAAAAATAGGTTCTAAAGAGTGAAAACCCCCATAACAGTTTGGCTGAAAACTTACAACTGAAAAGGCTCTGTCTGTGAATATGTCAATACATCTACCACTTATAAACCTTTTATATTTCAGATTCCTTAGACCAAGAGATGGCAACCTATGGCCGTGGAGCCACTGGGTGCAGCCTGTGGAACTGGAGCTTTGACAGCATTCAGTGGCAAAAGATGGGGGTAAAGTGGACGGGGGCTGGGACCCACGGAAAACCCACCTAGGACCCCAGCTGAGTCATTCTGGCCTGCCACTGGATATTGGCGTTAGAGAATGTGTGCATGTATTCCAAACAGCATAGCTAGTTTAATTACAAAATATGAATTCCATGACAATTCTCACTAAAAATACTCTTGTAGGAGAAGTTTCTAAAACCATGTAAATATGTGCAGCAAGCCATCACTGAAAGAAAAAAGAATTGGCAAGATTTCTTGTTGCTATTCTAGTGCTAGGCTTTTATAATGGAGTAAGTTTTAGTTAATTTTAGAAGCCTGTGAACACTTTCTTATTCTTATGCAGTCTTCTAATTCACCTTATTGACTGTAAGTGTCAGAACTTGTGTGTGCGTATGTATGATTTATTTTACATGGTGGGTTTTTCCCTTGGAAAAAATGCTATTCTCTTTTTCCTGTCTACTGTGGAATGAAGACATTATGGATATGTGTGCTGCATATGGTTCATGTGCATGTGCTGCATTAAAGTGGCAAAAAGTATTTAAGTTCATTCTCTGAATATCTACATAATTCAGCTATTACTGAGTATTAGTTGGGAATCAAAACTCCAGTATTCTGAGTAAGTGTATCAAGAGCTGCAGGAAAGAATACCGTAATAATGCTGAGAACTGTGTTTGTATTCATGAAGACACACCCCCTTACCCCAATTCTCAGTGTGTGAAATGAAAAAGGAATTCTGGCACAAGGCAAATGCAATGGATAATGCAGCTCCTTGCTCTGCAAGCCACTTGTGGCCAGTGGAACCATTACGATGCTGCTCAGTGAAACAAACCTGCAGACACATGTGAGAAGCCCAGATAAGGGATATGCTCACTGCGTGGACCTGTGTTTTCTAACAGTGGCTTGTACCTCTCACAAAAAGGACACAAGGAGATGGATTCCGCAAGAGTATTCAGGACTATACTAGGTCCTTCTCTCTCACCCCCTCCCTCCCAAACACGCTGTCCCTGCTTGTGGAAGGACATGGGTGTTATACAAATAGACTTTTTGCCTATTGCTTTTAACTTTATGTATTTTCTTGAGTTTTGCATTGCCTTAAGAAACTCCATTTTGTATTGCACTGTAGCTTGACATAAGTGTTTGACCTTTTTATTCTTTTGTATCCTGTATGGGTGAGAGTGTGTTTGTGGAAAAGGAAAACATCAGCTGGTGACTGGCTGAAGACTTCAGACAGATAAAAGACCAAAAACAGGAAGAATCTGCCTCTGAACAGAAAGAGAACATTGGCAATTGCCATTCAAGGAAGAACACAGTGATAATATAGCAAAAGCCCAGAGGACTGGGTGAATTGACAGGGCTATAAGAGATGAGGCAAGACATACTGATTTTGGGTCTTGTTCTGCATGTCATCCTTGCAGCACTCTGACAAGATGGACCAGAAGGAGTCCGGATCCTACTCGTGATCAACTTGGCTGGCCACTAAGTTGATCTGAGCACCAATAAAACTGGTAACATATACCAATGCAGAACAAACATCGGGGTATGAATGTGGGGTGTGTGTATATTAAGCGCTTAATCAATACATGCAGCATCTTCCCTTATCTTCCCTCATAAGGTCTCACTTGTGATTTGAGCAATTGGCAACATGGAGACCACAGAGCTCTAGCAGTCCTGAGGACCATGCTGACCACTACACTGCCTGGTGGTGGAAGGACTGCATTGGAATGAGGTCTACTGGCCTCTGATTGCTACCAGAAAGCACTGTCAGATTCAAGTCAATGTGGAAATTACCATCACTGGACCAGTTTACATTAGGGTTAGGGACAGAAGTTACACATAAACCAGTTTAACTGACCAGAAACTGGTTTAAACCTGTAACAAAGCAGAAGCTCAGTGCACATAAATCAGTATCAAAATGGCTGGAACTGGATTAAGATAGACCTGGTTGAATGTAATATCAGACTTAGCTGATTTGGGTCAAACTGGTTTATGAAACTTCTGTCCCAGGCCCCTTCCTGGTTCAAGTTAAATCACAGGCCACCAGCATCCTAGCATTTTTGTAGCCGTGGGCTGGGCTATGTTGTCTGCTCCATAGAGCAAGGCTGGCCCTGCCCATATGCTGCCTAGCTGAAGAAGTGAGAGCTGGCTGACAAGGGGGTTGTTGGGGGACACAAACCCAGCTGGGGATGTAGCCCAGTCTGGGAGGGGGGCAGGGGGGGCTGATCCCCTGAAAGACAAACCCTGATTGGGGTCTGGGCCAGGGAGAGGGGCTAAACACCCCATTCCCCTGCTCAAACTTACTGCTGGCCGCAACTGTGACAAATCCCAGAGGCACCTGGAAGCAAGAAGAGGAAGTAATGAGCAACCCTGCAAAGTCCTGCAGCTGTCATTCTGGATTGCAAGTCCCAGAGACCTCCTCAGCTCCATGCTATGGAAGGAAGGGAGGGGTGCTCTAGCACACCCCCCCCCCCCCCCCCCCAACGGCGTTTGGTCTGTGCCATTGCAGGCATGTGGCTGCATTTTCTGAATCAAAGGTAAATGTGTTCACTTCCGTTTCAATTTAATCTGTGCAGTTTAGACTAACCTGCAAAGACTGAATCATTTCAGCCTCGGGCTTTTTGACTGTCTGTACCTAGCCAAAAGCTGTATATATTTACATCCTCTGACCTTTTCTATCCCCTCCCTCTTATTAAACTGGGTTGTTTATCCCAAAAAAGTTCGCATTCAGTAAAAGCCATTTAAAACAGCATAGCCATTGAGCAAGGTATAAAGGTGATTGATCTTTTCTTAGCAACTCCCCCATAGGAACTGCTTGAAGGCTTAAGCTGAGGGTTAAAGGAACCTCTCACTAATTATAATCATTGAGACTTTGCATCCTTGTTCTCAAGATCCATTTGTTTAATTCCTCCAGAAAAGCTTTTAAACAAGTGAAACTTCTACCAGCATTCTCTTCCTCCTACCCAAAAATACAGACTTTTTCTCCCATAAAGATGTACCCAAATTCTCCTTCCAAAACCACTGGAATTTTGGGTATGGTTTCTGATCAGTGGTGTGTCCAGTATTCTCTATTGAGCTATAGATCCTAGCCTTCTGAGCTAATTCTAGAACTATGCAGCTTAGTAGCAAACCAATTGTGAGAGCAGAGTTTATTAAACGCTGCCAAAAGACAGATAAATAGTGTGGTCCAGTCAAAAACAGAAAGAGGGAGGGAGAGAGAGAGACAGGGAGAGGATGAACTTTTTTTTAAGTTAGAGAGATGATTCAGATAAATAATATACAATGAAAGTGAAAGGCACTATTTTTTAAACAAAGCTTTATGCAATGCAATAAATATGAGTAGCCAAAATAAAGAGAGAGAAAAACACACCATGCCTTTGGGTGGCATCTGAAATATTGCCACTTTTAAGATGCAGAGGACTGGTATTTGTGAATTTCCACTTAAAAAATAAAAATCACACACGCAAAATTTAACTGCATCCAAAAAGCATCTTATTATAACCTTTTATGAATTGTATTAGGCCCAACTTCATTTGTTCTCCCTTATTGCAGACCTTCCCACCCAGACCATGCAATGAAAGTATAAAAAACTGACATATATTTCTGGAACCAACAAAAATTTATTTCCATACACTAGCTTATAAATATACTCATCTTGTACCTGAGGATTGAGATAGGTAAAATTCCTTTCAGAAATATTACTGTTTATGCCAAAATTATGCTGTGTGAGGTCAGACAGACCTCCCTTAACTCCTTAGAAAAAACTAGATTGCAGCCTATCCTGCATGCCAGTGCAATGAAATGGACGGGAGTAAGTCACCCACATACTTTTCTGTGCTGGTTCACCATACAACTATTTCCTGTGAGGACCCTGCACCCATGGGCAGGAAGGCATGGCGGGTGGGACAGGAAAGTGCATGCCTTTATATCCCGCAGCAATTCAGAAGTACAGTTAACAACAGCACTAGGGCTAAGATACGCTGCAGTTTACTCCCTTCTCAGAGCAGAGAAAAGACTGGGAAAGAGACCAAAACTTGGAGTTACTCTCTCCTGGTACTCTCCAGGAAAAGTAAAATGACACTGTGCCCCTTACCGCTGGTTAGATTGCTCATTGACCATCTACCCCTCAATTTCCATGTCTTCTATTAAAGTTTAAACAGGGTCAATTTTAGTGTTTAGTATTACAATTTACTTTTACAACTTGTGAACTAAAGAACAATGAGGTGTTGCTTTTGTGTCCTTCTGTACCTGTAGCCTTTCAGGATCTCTCTTCCTCCAGGGCTTCAAACTGCATAGTTGAAAATACATTTCCCCAAAGACTGTACTCTTACAAGGCTTACTTTGGAGAGTCCTGTAGTTACAGCTGGCACTTCCATATCAGAGCTAGACACTGTGTTCTCTAAAGCCTTGTCACAACTTATTTTTCTCCACCCCCACCTTTGCCAACATTATTTCAGCTGAACCATCACAAGCAATGCTTGGAATCCAAGCAGAGAGCCTGTCCACCACGAGTGCTGTTCTGTGCATCACATCAGATAGTTATGCTCCTAGCAGGGCAGAGAGCTGGCAGTGCTGCATGTTCAAAGCATCTCTCAAGCAGTAGAGGAGGAGACTGTCGAAAGCTCAGACCCTAAAGGGATGAGCATGGATCAAACCCTACATATTGCTGATTTCACCTCCTTAGCAGTCTCTAATCCTAGAGTGAGGCTGAGCAGGCACATAAATTTGTCTGTGGCTGCCTACAGAGTGTGCAGAGGGAAATCCCACTCAGGATTACCAGAAATAGATTATAATGGCTACATGGCCTACCTGTGCTGTACACACCTGTGACGGACTCAACATGTAATGCCTGACATCCAGTATCTGTTGAATGGTAATACTGTTGGATGAAGGTATGAATGGTGCGTGCCCCCCAGCAGCTGCGGGGGGCACAGCTGCGCTGGCAGTGGGAGCGCAGCAGCAGTGGTGGGAGCCCAGTGGTGGTAAGTGCAGAGCTCCCACAGATGCTGCCGGCACTGTCAGCAGTTTGGGAGGGTGGGGGGGCAGGGTGGCGAGCACCAACCACCCACAGGTGCCACCAGCAACGTCGGCAGTGGCCAGGGGCGATTGTGGACCTCCTGCAGACACTGCTGGCAGTGTTGGCGGTGGGGTGGTGAGTGATGACCGCCTGCAGGCGCTGCTGACAGTGTTAGCAGTGCCTTTTTGCAGGGGGTGCACCACCATGCTCAGGGGGTGAACATGCACCTGCGTACACCCCCTTTGTGTTGTCCCTGGATGAAGGAGATTAGGTGAGCTTGATTCTAGCCTGCAGTTCCTGGGGGGGAGCATTCTGGGGGGGCTCAGTGTGGGGAATCAGCATTCTGATACCCCTTGTCCTTAAAGGAAGAAAACACTCTCTCCTTCTCAAGAACTGACTGAAAAGAAGCTCCCAGAGGTGGGGGTGCTACAGATCTTTGGGGAAGACAGGGACTGAGATGAACCAGAGTCTCAAAGCAAGAGACTTGGCCCTTGTGCAGGGGGACATCTCAGGAGAGGGTGACCAAATAAGGCTGCTTCTTGGGGAGTCCCAAGGAAAAGCTTTGCCCTCCCCTTTAAAAGGGGTGTTTGAGCCTTGTGTGGCAACCATATTTACCTGAACCCAGGACAACTTCAAATTTAAGAAGACCCTCCCACCCCCAAATTAGATTTCTATACATTGAAAATTATAAACTTTTTATAATTTTCTATGTATAGAATCTAATTATTGGAAGGTCATCTTAAATTTGTCCTTACCAACTACCATTTTGTAATATTTACCCCTTTCCCCTACCCTCTCAAGTGCACTTTCATTCATACATCCAATTTGTAAGCTGGTGTATTATTTCCCAATCCTTCCTTTGTATTGTATTTAGTTATTCCTGTTGGCTCTTCTTCCCTCCCAGTTCCTCATTTTGGCACCAGATTCAACTGCTTCTGGTACCAAGGTGTGCAAATGGCCAAGGTGTCATATTCTATCTTCTTTGTCTTTAAATTCATCAGTTCCTTGCAAGCAAACTAGTCAGACAGCTGACAGCTGGTTTATTTTTCTTTGCAATAAAATATATGGCATGCTCTTAATGCTTGTACACACACACACACACACACACACACACACACGATTCTTCATTTGAAAGTCTTGTTACTTCTGACCTCATGAAGCACAGCTTGCAAGATCTAGCATGCCTGAAACAGCTGATACACCCTCTAAACAACAAAATTGTTATTGCAGGTAATTAAGTAGAAGGAACAGTAAGACAAGTCTGGGATCGGTCTTTTCAAGTCTACAAATTAATCCAGCTAACTATCACAACAACAACTGACATGAAATCTACAAGTAGCAAGACAGGATTGCCTGACTTTCTCCTCCTTTAACCAGCTTATAACAGGCTGACAAATTATTGGCCAGGGCTGATCTTATAAACAGGTCTTTGAATGACCAGCCACTCAAAACCATATTTTCATTACTTGTCAAAGAATTAATTTGTAAGGTTCCTTTAATAACTCTATCATCTAACAGAATTTTAACCAAGAGGGCACACACATTCAAATGTTTTAGTCACTGAATTATGCTTAATATCAGTATGGGACTTGTGATTAAGAGTATAAGGCTCTTTGAAAGCAGACAAGTTATGAAATCCACAGTAGTTGTTTACTTTTTCCTACAGAATTGGGAAAAATGAGTTCTGAAGTGATGATAAATGCTGCAATTTAAGTGATCATGAAACAAAAAGTTGCCTTTTTGGTTCAGAAAAAAAGCATTTGAATGATCATCTGAATTTAAAGCAGAAAGAAATGTATGCAAAATGTTTTTAACATAATTTAAAGAAATTATTATTCAGATTTTTAATTCAATTATTTCCTAGGGGAAGGAAGATGCATTTTTTTTTATCATTATGAGGTAAGAGATTATATCCTTTTAATCTGAAAATTTTTGAAGCTTCAGATGCTGCTGTTTCACATGATTTTTAAACTCAGGGTAGAAAATGTTAAACAGAGTTGTATCTAGAAATCAAAATTAAACTCAGATTTGTAAACAAGAGAGGAGAGTTTGTTCCAAACTGCAGAGCTCTAGTGGAGTAAGCCAATACTGGTTCAGAAAGGCAGAACACAGTTGAAAATCAGGGCGACATGGGATACTCAAAAGCCTGTAGTGCTGATCCAGCTCTGCTTTCACTGAAATAAAATCATTTACTTCAGAAGAAACTGGTTGCTTTTGAAAATCCAGGGCACTTATATGTGTGACGGACCTTGATTCATCAAGTCTGCTGTGAGAGTCTGCTGGAGCATGCTAATTAGTGTTCTCCAGCAGCTTCCGTGTCACGTGTATTCAATGCCTCCCATTTCAAAATGGCAGCAGGGAACCA